AGCAGAGAAAGGATCTGCAAGGTCAGTGCAGAGCCCGTCACCAGAGAGGAACACGGCTGTGACGGGACGCTCTGGAACCAAGCACAAGCAAATTCCAGCAGGTTACTGGGATGGGCTCCCTGCCAACCCCTGAGCTGCGTGGGAAGGCAGGAACAAATGTCATGGGAAGGAGACAGGGCTGCGAAGGTGCAAGAAAGCGGAGCTGCATGAGGATGGAGGAGGCAGCGGTGGAAGCGGGACACCAGAGATACCAGACTGGAAACTGCATTTATGGAAATATCACGGGGATCTGGAGGATTAGGCCAATGTATGAATGATGTGCACGTCCCACCTGCCCACCAGGTCATCCCAGCGCTGCCATCTGAGGGAAGGCGGCGGGGAAATGGTGATCCAGCACCTCAGGAGGAGGCACTGGGACCATGTGTGTGCCCAGCCCAGCCCAGGGAAGCCTCAAATGCCTCCCCGGCAGTGGGGGCTGTGAAGACCAGCCCCATTCCCATTAAATGTAGGAGTTATACATGTAAATCCTATGATGCCCCACGAGCTCCACGAAAACCACGCTGTGAAGTGATTTGGAGCGATTAAATCGCTCAGCCCACGCACGGCCGGGGCGCCGCGGGGCCCGAGGCTGCGTGAGCGGCTCCCTGGGGAAGGAGGCGGGGCTGGTGATTAAACAACAACACGAACGCGAGACCTCAGTTTAGCAGCAGGATCCGAGTCCTCGAGGAGGGGGATGGATTCAGAGAAGGGACAAGGGCAGCGACAAGGACAGGGACAGGGCAGGGACAGGACCCGCCGCCGCGCTGAGGCAGCGCGCGCTCCCCTCACGGTCGCGCGGAGGGGCCGGTGGCCGCCGTGCCCTGGCGAGCGCCGTCACTTACTTGTCCACCCTGACACTACCCGGGCCGCGCACACCCCGAGCAGGGACGTTCCCTGAAACCCGCCGCTGCCGGGAAACCCGCCGGGCTCCCCCTTCCCGGGCCGGCCGCGCCTGCGCCGGGAAGCGAAGGGAAGAGAAGGGAAGGGGAGGGAAGGAGAGGTGGGAGCGGCTCGCAGGGTTCCTTCGGCGCTATGGGGCATCGGCGCAGAAGGAAGGGAATCGCCTTTATCCTGTGTTTAAAAGCGAATAAAGCACAAAGAAGGCGGGGGGTTGGCTTGGTTTGCTAAAGGGGTTGGTATATCGTATTTATCGGCCCCGTTGCCCTCATAAAGGACTGCAAAATACAGGCGGTCAGAGAAGCGTTGGAGCGGTGCAAGAAGCCACATGGTGAGCCCCGGGAAGGAGATACACAATACAGAAAAATAAATATATATACAAGAATAAATATAATAATAAACATATGTAAATATGGAAGAGTATATATAAATATATAGACTATTAAATAAGCAGGAGGGAATGTCAGAGCTAATGTCCACCACCCTCTGACCCATAAATATGTAATTGCTTCTTAAATAAATAAAACACGGCTGTGAGCCGCGAGTGTGATGTTCTGCACAGAGTTACTCTGAGAGTTTTACCTGAAAAGCTGGGAAACTGCTGATGTGAGGAATAAACCCAGAGTTTAGTTAAGGTTTGCTTAAAATGGAGGGAGGACGGGGCAGTGGGATCTGCTCAAATGCATCCCTGGGAAACAGAGATCACAGAATCAATTAGGTTGGGAAAGATCTCTGAGATCATTGAGTCCAACCCATGGCACAGCCCTGGCTGCACACTGCAGATCCCACCACAGCCCTCTGTGACCTTCCACAACCCATGAAGGGAGGAGCAGATGGCAACCCTCACATTCCCATCATGTCCAAACACTTCTGGCCCCAGGAAGCCACCAGGGATTTTTCCCGTTATCCCCCAAATATTCTACAGCAGGAAATCTTGCAGCAAAAAAGCTGTCTTGCAACATTTCCAGAGTATTCCCACTTCGGCCTAGGCAGAAATGCTGCAGGAACAACCTTGCTCAGGGAAAGATGAGTGTTGTCTCGTGGTCAGAGCACAGGGTTCGTGGTCAGGAGCTGTGGGTTCTCATTCCAGCTTTACCACTGAATCATTTTGAGAGCTTCTCTAGTCACTTTGTACTACAACCAGTTAGTAATTTTCCGTTGGAATGATTTTCTGATGGAAAACACTGCTACAAAACTGAAATCTGGGTGAAAATCCGTTTTCCCATTGGGAATACCTTGCATGTAGGTGGGGCAGGGAAGGACATTTGACTAAATGGAGGTTTTCTTGCATTAATTCAAATGTTTTGCTTTGAATAGATAGATTTAAAAAAAAAATCTCTCTATTGACTGTAATTCCAAATCAGCCTGTGGCACAGTGGGAGTGTGTGCTCTCATGCTCTGCTTTGCTCCAAGACAGGTCTGCACTCTTGTAATAGGATTCAAATGTCTCTTTTCTGAGACATTCCATCCCGATCTGAGTCCAACCTGGCCCATGGGGACAAATCCCACTCTGACCAGGGAAGTGCTCCATGGAGAGAAAGTGCAGGACTCAGAGACACAAACAAGCTGTTTCACATTAGTTCAGTGACCTAAAACAAAGCGCCGTGACTGTGGAGACACCCAAATGTTTTGTTCAACTGAAAAACAGTAAAACGAAGTCCAGAGAAATGGACCTGAGAGTGCTTCTGTCTCTGACAATCAAATCCTACAACCCTACCATGCACATGCTGGGCGCTGGTTCATAGTTCTGACTCTTCACCCTCCCAACTATCTCCTTTCTTTGCTGTTTTGCTCCAGAATCCTATTTCTCTGTTCAGTAAAACCAAATTTATTTCTGTCCCCTATATATTCATACATTGCCAACACTTTCTTTTAATCTAAATAATACTTATTCTCCTCCCACAGTGTATTTGTAGACACCTTTTAAATCCCTTCTTTTGTTTTGCCAAGTTAAACATTAACCATGTACATTTTCTTTCGTAACAGCAAGTTTTGCAGTATCTAATAAGCTTTCTCTGCACTTGTTTCAGTCAGAATTCATCTTTTCTGAGCACAGGTGATCAGACCCTGACATAAAGTGTAATGTTCAAAATGATGGCTTGCTAGAGACTTGTATAGTGGTGATGATAATTCCCTGTGCACTCTTTTAGTTACAGACAGGGATCAATTTTGCCATTTTTATACCTATATCACATTAGCACCTCAGTGTATCCAGGTCTTTTTGCTCCAAGAAGTAGCAAAAATAAGTACAGACAAATGTATTAACTTAAGATTTCTAAATACATTTTTTCCATTTCATCTCACTTCCCTAGCACTCACATGATTTCTTTCCAAGGGGGTGACAAATGAAGACATTTCCAAGAAAGTTACAGGATCTCCAGCCTCCAAAATCAAAGCCCTGAAAATGCCTTCTTTTTTTTTTAATGGAAGAATCAGAGTTTAGATTATTACATATTCCCAAGCCCACATGAGGTTTAATTCATTGCTCCTTTGAAATATTCTGAAAGCCGAGGGTTAAGAGGTGTTGTATTAGTGCAGAATAATGATGATTGATTGATTTGTGCTTGTATCAAATGCAGGAGGAGTAGGAACATGTGTGGTGAATCCTCTATAATTTCAAAATCTTTCTGTAAAGCTGAAAATCCCCTGTAGATGTATGAAATGGAACCCAAGACCACCTTTCCCTGTTTAGAGCGTGGCTGTTGTGGTTTTGCTTCCAAATAACCCCTCTCTTTTTCCAAGATTCTGGACAGATTCACTTAAAATATACCCTTTTGCATTTTCATTACAGAGTAACTGATGAAAATTCCATTTTAAATGGACTTTCTGGGAGAGAGGGACATTCTTTTTATCATTATTAACCAAAGCCCATATTTCAAGCTGCAGGGATACAGCTCCAGGTAGTGTAAATCAGCATTGCCCGGGATGGCCCTGAGTCCTCTCAACCAGCCCCTCAGAACAATTTAGTGGTTTTAGATGACAGTTGGCATCTTTGAAATATTCTCTGTTGCAGAACTAGACTAGATGTGACACTTGCTGCAGAAGAAATCTTGCATAAATCTGTCCAAAAAGACTCAATCATATTACTTCACTACTCATGGTAACCTTTGGAGGCCAAAGTCCAGACAGGTTGAGAAATGGAGCATGAGTCCATAAAGGTGACAATTCCATTAACTGCAATCAGAGGAAGAGGTGAATGGTGAGATAAAGACAAATTACTTCTTCTATAAAGAAGAGAAAATATGTGTGTGAAGGGGAAAGAGATGGAAGGAACATTTTCCAGCTTTGTCAAGGAAATAAAGATCCAGCCCCACTCTGTTGAGATTAACACAAAAATGTCTCTTGGGCTCTGTGGATCCCAGTTTTGCCCCAACGCCCTGGTAAATATCAGTGGGAAGCATCACTTTGGGAGTGCAGATATTCACATGGGAGACACCCCAGCAAAAAACCACGTGCAGAATTCCTCACTGAATTGCCCCCACAGCCATGCTGGAATTGCAAACACTGGGCCTGGATTTTCAGTTAACAGGGCATTTTGCAAAAATAACTATGTGGAAAAATTGTTGGCACTTCTGAATCCAGTGATTCAGGATTCTGAAATACACCAGACAACATCTCCCAGCCCAGTGGGTGCATTTCAGCCCCAGAGGCTGAACAGAGATGGCTTTGAGATCTATGTTTGGGCCCCAAATGAAAGAGTGGGACATACTGATGGTGTGTGACATTTTCAAGGGTTTCTATGCAGAAAACTTCATCTAAAACCAATCCATGTACAAACCAGAACAAGGCAAGCAAATTGTTTTACTTCCAGAAGTATCTCTGAGCATCCAAAAATTCCACTTAGGTGTTGATTAGCAACACAATGAAAGGGAAGACAATATTTATAAAGGTTCTTGTATCACGTGTGCTCAGGCAGTTCATACAAGCACTTGAGAGTGGCTTTTAATCTCATTTTAAATAAGTATAACAGTGGTATAGGACATAGAAGCTGGAGAATACTCTGGATGAAATGCTCATGGGGTCATTAGATTAGGACTATTCATTCAAACAGGGAAATAGGGAAGTAAAAACCAATTGAATTTTTTGTAACGACAAGAAGGAATTTTTGAGTGTACCATAGGAAAAAAAGGAAATTTCCTTTGGGGGACTTTTTCTGTTTTTAACAGAAATATTAAGTTACACTCAGATACTTGAGCAGCCAAAAAGGGAAATCCCTGTTTTACACGGCTCTAAATATAGCTAGAAAAAAAATAATTCAGATTTTATCAATTTGTGACCCATTTGGGCAGCTCACCTTTTAATACCAAAGTCAGAAACTGATACAAACAAACATACAGTATTTCAGGCTCCAAAATTCCAGTGTCTTGCCCACGGCCTGTTCCTGCCTGCCCTCTTGGCTGGACACCAATATCCTTTATTCTCAGGGGAGTCAGCCTTCCAAAAAACCACTTGGCACTCGAGTCAGGGCTGCTCTGTTTTCTAACGTTCACGGCAGGCAGGATGTTTTCCGACTCTGGTACCCAACAGTTGAGCATTCCAGACAGCACGGGGATTTTTCTTCCAAAACCACACTGCCAATGCCATAAGAATAAGTGAAGTTTTGTGACACCATGTGATCCTGGTGGGAAAATGGGATGACTTTGTTGTCACACAGTGATGCACAAAGGGAAAATGTGCATGGCTCTTGCCACCTTTGTAAATTCTCCTTCTGGGGTGTGAATGCTGAAAAAATGCTGGCCTAAAGTCGTGTTTTCATCAACTGGTTCCCCTCTGGGAAGGCTGCCAGATCTCCACGGATTAGTTAAGGAGAAGACCCCCCTCCCAAACTGTCTGGCCAGAAAAGCAACCTACTGGTGCAGTGTGGCAGAGGGGATGCTCAGCAGTCTGTGCACGCAGTATTTTCAGCAAGTGAAAATGTTCTGTTTGCTCCACAGAACACACAGTACAGATACCCATGCAAATTTTTGTCTATGCCTTTATACTCCTTAAATATTAGAAATATTAATATTATCATTAACATTTATATGGAAGTAATTCCTGAGCTCACTGATGTCAGGCCAACTCTAGCTGTGCAGCCTTTCCTGTGTGCATCAGACACGGCTCAGGTGAGGGCAGGCAGGTGACAACTCACAGCCAGGACTCCTCACTGACCAGGGGCAGACGGAGGCAGATTGCCACACACATCTCTCATCACAGCTCTGTGCCACAATCCAGATGTGCAAAATCATGAAATCACAATCTCTCGAGCTGGAAATGAATTTCACAAGCCAAGCTGTGAAAATCTTGTCGAGCTCCTCAAATTTCACAATACCTCACATCTCCAGAAAAACAACTATAATAGAGGTTAAATATTCTTTCGGCAACATCCTTCCAAGGCTTTTTCCATAGGATTTGACCAGCTTGTGAGAAGTAGTTTGTTACAATGGTGATATATCACACAGTGGTGCCAAATCCAGTCAGTGTGGAGAGGATTGAAGGCAGCTCAAACCCCCTTCAGGCAGCATGTCTTGATTCCACACCTGGCACCTCCTACAAAAGGCAGATCCTATTTTGCCCTTTGAATTCCAATGCCAGTGAACACAGTCATGGGAGGCAAGCAGTCAAGATCTGTTAATTTGTAAAAAATATAACTCTCTGTTCTCCAAGTGTAGGATTAACTGGGATCTGTACTTCCAAGATTATAAACAACACACAGCTTTTCTCCAAAACTTGTTGCAAAAAGTACAAATGATGTTCTAATGCCAGCACTGTAATCTTTATAAATCTTAGATGGAGCAGGGGCTCATTCCATTACATAAAAAGAAGTTTGTAGGATCATGTAGCCACCTGCAAATCATACACAAATAGGCCAAACAGCACGAGAAACAGGAATAAAATCACCATATATGTAGCTGGTTCCTATAGCAGAGAGAGTGTCATGTTCTGTATACAACCCAAAACAAATTGTCTGCTTAGAATTAAAATATGATGCTGTTTCCAAAAGTCTTGCCTCTGGGGAGATAATTTTTATACCACAGGGCAGATTCAGCCCTGGTGTAGGGTTTCTGATTTTCATGGAATTGCACCATTAAGGAATTTGGCCCAACATCTTACCCACACTGATGCAATTCAACTTCTAAGGGACAGTTATGGGGTTTCCTCCTAAGTAAGGCCAAGTTTCTGGAACAAGGGAAGTCTGTAAAAGAAACGGTCGGAGGGATGTTTTAGTCTGGCATTTGGGAACATTCACATGTTAGAAAATGTCACAGGGTTTATTTTGTATGTCTTCTTGCACATTTGAATTTCGTGCTTTTTCTTCTTCCTTACAGATACATTGTCAGTAGGTGGTCGCAGCAGAACTGGATAAGCCCCAAATAAATGTAATGAAATGATTATAGACAGTGTGAGTAGAACAACATTTGTGGATCCAGTTCATTCTGCCTCATCTTTGTTATATAAATCTATTTTGCAAACTTAATGCATTGCCTGACCTTTCAATATATGATTAGCAGAACATCTGCACCACTCAGGACTCTGGAGAAAAATTTAAGATGTTAATTCACCAACATTTTAGGTACCTTTAAATGTTTTGGGCATGACTGATCTCACATAGTGCCTTGGATTTATGCTTTGTGTGACAGATGGAAATCTGAAGCACACACTGATGCTCTCACTGATGTTGAAAACTTCTGTGCAGAATCACAGAAAAGGAGCTATAACACCTCCCTGCTCCTGGAGCTAACCTGGTATTTCCTAAAATTCTGCAGCCTCACAGGTCATGGCCCAGAAAACAGGAGTTTCCCCGGCTCTTCCTGCCAGCGCTGCCTGTACCGGGCACTGTGATGGGGTGGGATGTGATCCTGTCAGGGGGCTGGGGGAGATTATTCCCTTCCCTCTGCAGTTGTTCAAGCTGCCCAAACAGCACAGAGCAGATGCTCAGTTTCTTAAGGCTTCCTGGGAAAATCAACACTGTTTCAAAACCAGAACCAAAACTCTGGAAAGATTAATCGAGCTTGGGTCAAGAGGGAGGAAGGATGAAATAGCTTTTGACAGCAGTGAGCTGGTAAATGATGTGCCCAGTGCTGAGCTCTCAGCATTGAGTCAAAATATTCAGTGTATCACATCAAAAACTCCTTTAGACTATTGACATAATATTAGAAAGAACATGGAAAAAGATAGAACAATCAAAGGTACATTTTCAATTTCCTACTTGCATTCTTACACTAATCTGACAATCATAAAGACTTAGTATAAATCAAATGGAGCAAATGCTATCAATAAATTAAAATGTATGGAGAAATGTGTTTTAATGTGTGCACAAGAGTTAAAAAAAAACTTTGGCACAGCTGCAGTTCAAAGTTTTTTCCAGTGTTAAGCACAAGCAGCAAATGAAGCAGCTTCAAGCATTCTTTAAAATCCCATTCTTTAAAATCCATTCTTTAAAATCCCCAAAGGGTTGCTACCCTTTGGATTTTACAGTTTGTCTTTCCAGAGCAATGATAAAACCATCACAGCTTTAATCAACTTTTTGAATCATTGACCAGTCTAAAAAGCTGAAAGTGAAATAAAAGTCAAGACACATAAAAAACCAGAAATACTGGACATTTTTGCCATTTCTGTCAACCACAGGTAGGAATGTTGTTAGAAAGCAAGATAAGAAATCGAGGAAGGGAATAAGTGGTAACTGCTCCCTTATTTTAGGTTATTTTATGTCTGACTGTTTCAATATTAGGAGGAATATGTGACTGGGTGCGTAACTCCACCCTCTCCAAGAATTGCTGGGATCATTGTTTATGAGTGTGATCCAAACACAGGAACAGTTTCCTTACCTACAGTCTGTTGCAATCATGGAAATACCATGGGATGTTCCCATTGATACCTTCTCCCCATCGTCACAGCACACCCTGAGAACTCCTCATCTTGGGACATACAGGATTATCTACTTAGCCCCAAGCTTTGGAAATCACCTTCATATGGAATAAACAGTACCTGCTAGAGTTGCTTTGTTTTAATGTTAGTGAAGGAAAGAAATCCCAGTAAGAGCTGTGGATGTGACTGTTTGTCATCCTTTGAGAAAAAAAATGTTCTAAGTCAGCTCAGTGGTACTTTTGTCACTGAGTTTCTAATGTTGAAAACTGACACCAGTACCATGACCTGAATAACTTAAAATTTTGACCCAAAAGTAATGTCCCCCTGTAAAAGAAAGACCTCCCAAATTAAGACTTCAGCTGCTCCATCTTGAGCTAGACAACTATTTTTCTAAGCTGCTGCCTGAATTGGGCTTCAAACCAGAACTGAATGAATGCAGAGGAGGAAGCCTAAGGTACAGCAGTTAAAATATATGGAGGTTTGTGGAACATTGAACCCTTCAGAGTACAAAATATTTGCAATTTGGTATTACAAGCATTTCCCTTCCCACCGGAAGGTTAGTTTGTTAGAGAGGAATATTTTGCTGTCAGAGAATATCACAGGCTGCTCATGTTCTTGCTCATTAACTTCTTTTCAAGCAGAAGAAAATTCGTGTCACCTGTGGTGAGGGGTGTCTTGGTCAGATTGTTCTCTTATATCTTACCTAGTCCTAATAAAGGGAACCAATTCAGAGGTTGAGAGTAGTATTTTTGGCCTTTTAACCATGGCATTTTCAAGGTAATCCATATTTTAGCAGTGGCCCATGACGTTACCTTCATTTGTAACCTATTGCCAGATTTATTCCATAGACTTTTGCACAGATCCTGGGACCAGAGAGGCTCATGACTGCAGCCCCTCCCAGCCCAGCTTCCAGCAGCACATCCCAGCCCTCTGCAGCATGTTTAGCAAGCGAAACCCCACATTGGCACTCAGGGTTGAGTAACAGTGTTCTTGGTACACCCACCCAATGTCCTGAATGTTGGGTAACAGGAAACCAGGGGATGGAACAAGCCACTGCTTTTGGTTTCTGAGCCCCTGAATCCCTGAGAGGTTCTAGGGGGTATCTGCTCTGTGACAACACTTCCCATTGTGTGTTCCAGCCAGGAAGATGGATGTACCTTAGTTAAAGTGAGTCATTCACTGAACCTGGGCCAAACTTTGAAGCAAATCTGGGCCAGTTTACTGCCTCGGGAGGAAACCTGGTTTTTGCATGAATTAGATGTGAAAATAAGCAGAGCCTGACTGACATCTTCTCCAAATTCCAACTGTAAGGGTAAAACCCAGAGGGCACGAGCCTCAGGCATGACAAAAATGAGGAGGGGAAAATGAAGCATCTGTCTCCCCTCCCAGATCCAGAGAGACACATGTTACTGAGAACTTAGGGTAAATTGTTAATTATTTAGACACTAATTAAGTAATGTTTATAGAGTGGCTTACGTATGTAAATGGATGTAAAGATGCTTGCTGTTTTCCTGCAGTCTCCAATTAAACCAACTTTCATTATAGAGCAAAGCAATTCCATCCCAACTTGTTACACCAGTTCTTTATCCAGGCAGCTTTTCAGCCAGTGCCCCCAGCTCAAACTGGGCTATTGTTGCTTCCCCACGGAAATTTCTGGTTTGCAGTTGTTTTAATTCCATCACCAATCACATTCTGTTTAATGATAATTTGATTTTGCATTGCAAGACCCAGATGTACATTAGGAGGTCACAACCTTTCCATTTATCTCCTAAAGTAACTATTTTTTCCCCGAGTTCCATCAGGTTAAAACAGTTAGCAATTTTTCTCCTTGAAGTGTCCCTTCAGCTTGGCTGAGATATATAATAGATCAGTGTAGCTACAAATGCATTACAACATTAGTCATCAATTAGTTTTAAACCATCGCTGTAATATATCATTTATCCAGCTTGCTGTAGCACTATTGTGAACATTTAATTTTTTAAAGGCATCTTGATTTTTTAACCTGATGGCTGCATCCCCCCTTTGTCTCCTGTGCAGACATCTCCTTAAGGAACAATAAAAATTAGATTTGTTTGACCCGCACTCAGGGTTCATTTAAGCGAGATGGATTTTAATTGCTCTGCCCAGTCTCCCAGACAGCTTTTATGTAATATTCCAGACATTTACGCACTGTCTTTCCCTGGCTGTGAGCAGGTGTGTGCCCACAACTGCCTGTAAAGCAGCTCTTACAATTCATTTCGCATCTCTGGCAATCCTTGGGGAAATTGCTTACTCTGAGATACCCACTGGCATCAAATTAAGGCCTCTGTTCATTGCCACATCTTCCCTCCTAATACCATTTTCTTTTGTCTTTAAGATTCACCTTTTTGTGTGGCTGACTCTAAAAGGGCTTTGCTGAGGACTGTGTTTCTTGAACTTGTCTTGTTGTCACAGAGCGCAGGTGACTTACCCCAAATACTGAGAATGGGTTCAGGGCCTGCCTCTCCCAAACCCCACATTGTCCTTCTACGATTTGCAATAAAATTTATGATTTGAAAAGGTTTGGATTCTGAGACAGCCGGGACTCGGAGCAGCAGGTCTGTGCCACAGTTTGGTATCTTGAAGGATCTCAAACTTCAATTAGCAGGTCACGCGAGCGAGTTATCACAGCACTGACTCAGAGCCCAAACACCCCGACTGCTCTGCCAGCTTGGAGTGGAGGCACAATGAGCTCACGTTTGCCCACGATGAACCTTATTTGCTCCAGCTGCTGCATCAGGGAGAGGAGAACCTCATGTGGAGAGTTCTCTCCCTGCTAACTCCCCTTCCACGGGTGATACAATCTGAAGATGAGGTCCTCTGTTTTTCCTGTTCTTCTCATTCCTAAAAAGGAAGATTTGGCTGGCCCATGAGTTAGCAAATCAGCACAAAAAAATGGGCCTCCTAAGCAGTTCTTTGTGCCTACAGCTGGTTCTGGTCTCCTCTCTGTTGGACACACACATGTGCTCAATTCCCAGTTGTGCTGGATGCCTATTAAAAGAACAAATCTGCAAGTGAGGAGGGTCTCTCCTGCCATGTCCATGGAAGTGAAATACGTAAATCTCCTGCATGCTGAGGGGAATGAATGTTCTAAGTGCTTGGGAGAACAGCTGTGAAAGAATAAGCAGTTTGTGTTCTGCTGCACAGTGTCACCCATCCAGCTCACGAAGCTGATCCTCATGTGGCACGTTGTGCCTGCTCCATGATGCTGCCTCCTGCTTCTGGGGGAGTGATTCAAAGTGCTCAGCGTTCCAGGCAGCACGGGAAAAGGGACAAACCTGCTCCTTCCACAATGGTACAACCAGCATGGTAATGGTGCACAGCAGCAAGGGAGCACTGGAGTGGGAAGGACAATTCCAGTTAGGGGCCCTGTGCAGGGAGTGGAGGTGGATATCATGGTGAGCCATGGACAGAGCTGTGGAGGAGCAGGGGAACTGCCTGTCCTTGCCAGCCTGGGAAGCCAGAAGAGGGATTGGAATAATCTTCCTCAGTGCCACTGGTTTTCTCAGTGCCAGTGGTGAATCCCGACCACTCAGGAGACACCCTGGAGTGAGACTGGTATATGACTGACAGGTGAATCACAAAACATTTAAAGAATATGAAGGGTTCAGTAGGACTGTGGAAGGAAGTTGTGTTTCCTTTCCTGAAAACCAAGCAGAATTTCCCACTTGACCAAAACCCAAAGTACAAGTGCACAGCTCAAGGCATTCACCTTCCGTGTGCCCTGAGCCAGCACCCAAGTCCCACCATAAACCACACCTATGGTTCCCCTCTGGGCAAGAGAGAAACAGCAGGACATGTTCAATGCTAATTATGGCATCAGTGGAAGAAACTCAGATGAGACATTCACTTTGAGAAGCCTTGGAAGAATTTTACTTGATGTAGAATCTTTGAACACAGCAGTGACATCAGGAAGGAGATGGGAGGTCCAATGCACTTATTTTGCATGTGGACACATCATTCTTAATTTCATATTCTGTGGGTTTTTTTCCCCTGGGGCTTTTATATCCATCAGTAACACACACCCCAATATTTTTTACTTCCCTGACAGAAGCACTGAAAATCAAACCCATTTATTGAGTACCAAACAAATGCAGAAATAAGAGCAGCTTCAGCACTAGAATACACATTTGTAACCCTCCAAGGACCAGATGCAGCAGAGCTGGAACACTCAGCAGCTGTAATGTGCACCAAGAAGTCACATTTGTTCAAGAAAAATCACATTACTTATATTAATTGGATGTGTCCAGCCCATCCTGAGTCCACTTAAGCCTTGGCAAACCTCTAGCTCTGAGCATAACAAAGGTATTAATACAGATATTCCTTTATATTATCCCATTTACATAACAGGTCCCACCTTTGCAGCCTAATACTTATCCTTTGGAACACAGAGAACTATTGACTCATATCTGGACTGGGTTGCCAAAACCTCCTAAATTTAGAGATGTTTGGAACAAGAAAGAGAGTTTGGTTCAGGCCCATCCACTACAGCAAATTGAACACAAGTCATCATCTACACGAGCGACATTTTCGGCGTGTCCAGAGCCTGGTGGGAGCTGACATTCCTTCTCTCAGAAAGATTTACAGAATCTGTGCATTGACAAGCATTGAGGTAAGCCCTGCTCTGAGGGCCAAGTGCATAAATTAGGCCTGTCCCCTCCCTTCAGTAGATTACATACACACTGTAGGTTGGCTCACTGTGCTTTGGCAGCTCCCAGTCTGTGAGCGTGTGTTCACAGAGAGGGAGTTCGTGTCATACTCGTGCATTTACATTTTCTTTTCTAAGGCTTTGGTGCAAGGAATATGTTGCACATAATTTTTTCCCTCCATTTACATCAGATACTGGATTAAATAGACAGGGAAAAAAAAGTACTATTAACATGTTGGCACATATTGCACTTTCTCAGCAGAAACTGTGTCGCTTGAGCATCAGTTTGGTTTAAATTATGTAGGTCAGTGTAAGGTCAGCAAGAAGTGCTGGATTAGCATCCTCAGAGACTGAGGTCCTCTCCTCACTCTCAGAACAAGGCCACATCAAGAAATGTCATTAAAGCTTCATGCACAAAGACAGGGATATTTCCTCAGGCCAACCAAGTGCTCACCTGTTCCATGAGCCCTTGGCTTACATGGAAAACAGACTGGCCAGTTGGCAGGATGATGAGGGGACTGACACTGTCAAACTGCTTCTTCAAACACTGTCAGGGTTTTAAGAGCTGCATATTTGCAGTAGTCCATGTACCTGTGAAATGACTGAATCACTGTCTTCCATGTGTCAAAATGATGCCATTTCTGGGCTGCTCCATCTTCCTCCCACAGATTAGCACATTTTAGGTAGAATGCATGGCCTGAAAACCCAAATACATGTGGCAGCTCAGACTGGCTCTTGGTGACTTCTAGAAAAGTAACACAGGGATAGCACTGGGAGCCCCACGCATCATCCCAAAGGCTTTTAGCTTTCCCAACTGGATTATCTGTGCTAAGCTTTTCTCTGTGACCTGAAGAACCAGTACAGTTGTTTCTCATTGAGGGCCAAAAGCCTCATATAATCAGGAAACATGAGAAAGAGGGCTTTCTGAAGAATGGAAAACATGAAACGATTTGGGATTAAATGACAAAAGAACTGAGTATTGTGCATGCATCTCCTGCATTTCCAGCAAATTCATGCCCTTGCCAGGCTTCTCACACAGCCCAAACACTCCTCTTCAAAATTCCATGGTATCCTATCTTCCAGGCTGCCTGGTATCTGCTCTTCCTCCGCTTCTTTCCAGGTTTTTTCACAGATCCATGGCATTCCAGCACTGTGGCATTTCTCAATGTCCCTTTGACCAACTGGAGGATGTGATACTTTGCATGGCATGTTCAGACTCTTCCTCCCACGGCTTCAGCCATTCCCAATGTTCCCTGTGCTCACTTCTTAGGAGGCAGAACTGTTGTTCCAGAAATTAGATCCAGCAATTACTTCATTCCAGAAATGAAAGTTGCAGGAAAGGTTTCCCTCCTTCCGCTTCTTTCTAAAAATATATCCAGGAAAACTAACTGATTGTTAGGGGCTGAGTTGGCAGCAGGGAGGAAATCCTGTGTGTCTGTGTCCTGTCTGTGTCCCAGAGCGTCCTGCCCTCTCCTTTTGGCTTGGCATGTTCAGCCCTGATTTGGAAGTGGCCACTGGTTGGGAGGTGGGTTTACCTGAAGAGGGAAAGAAAGTGATGATACATGAAATGGGCTGACAGTTCCCTGGTGGCCTGTGACAGGAGGAGATGGTGCCTCACTCAGTGATCCTTCTCTCCATAGCTTGGAGCTCCCAGCCCTGCTGCTCTGCTGGACTGGTCCTCCCAGCAGGGAAGGGGCAAAGCTGGCAGCACCTCAGGGATGAGTCTGCAACCTTGGTGTCAGAGGAAGACCATTCCCAGAGCAATGGCACTGCCTAGAGCAGCTCCCTCCTTCTGTTCCTCATCTTCAGAAGATCTGCTGTTTCACAGCCCCTTCCCTCCTCTCATAGGATTACGATCCATTAACGGCCCCAAAACACAGCCCTGAGTGCAATTCCCATACACAAGGCTTGGGAGACTCTCTCCGATGTGCACCACATTTTAAAAGAAATGCTTTCTCTTACACCACCCCCTCCTGTTCAGAGCAGCCTGGTAGCAACTACAGCAGACTCACAGTGGGAAATCTAACAGCACAGAAGTATCCACTGTCCACAATAATTTCCTTTACTGTGATTTTGAAGAAATGTGACTGCCGTGGTCTGAATATAAAAAAAAACAAACAGTATTTTGAGCATACTGCAGGAACTGCTGCTACAAAACTATGCAAATTCCAGAACTTCTGTTTCTGTAAATAAAAATTTTCCAGGGGACAACATCCAGAGGAGACAGTCATGTGCTCCAGCCTGAACAGGAGTCGGGAAATTCAGGGTCTAGTCCCAGCTCTACTCAGGCAGTTTGGCTCACTGGCTTCCACTTCCCATGGTAAGACCAAAATAATGATAATAAAAATCACAATGAAAGCAATTGAAAATATTTGCATAATTATGCAGCATGTGTTTGCATGCTTTGCATGTTAAACAAGGGGTTGTTCCTTATCCTACAATCTCAGAACAGATAGGGAAGTAGAAAGTGGGGAGGAGAATGGGAACAAAACCTAATGAGTGTAGAAGTAAACTCAGTTCTGTAGAAAAACAAGCTGAAATGTTTATTTAAGAGAGACTAAATAGGCAAAGATTCAGAGCCTGGTGGAAAAAGTCAGGGAGTTCCCATCAGAACAAAGGCTGTGACACAGAAGGATGGAAATAATTGTGGAAGAAGCTGATGAATGGGGTGGACTGGGCTGGAAATACTGGTGGAGCTGAAGGCCGTGTCGTGACAGGTGAACACATGATGATGAAGATGATGATGATGATGATGAATTCCTTTTCAGTTTGGACATGGATGGAACATGAGTCCTGCTGACTAAGGGTGACTGTGAGATTCTGCTGCTCCAGGACAAGGAGCATCAGCTGCATCCACACCAAGGCAGGGCCCCTGGAAACTCCTCTGTGAGTGTTATCTGCGGATCTGAGCCGCTTCCAAAGCTGTACTGGAGCCAAAACCCGCCTGGGGAAGAGATTGCCCCACAACCCTTTGATATGGCACATTCACCAGCAGGTTCAACCAGTAATTCATTGAACAAAGCACTCAAGTCAGTGGGACAAACCCATATGGGAATAAGTGTGAGTCACATTGGGGCAGAAGTGGCCTCCCTGCCCTGAGCCCATGCTGGAGCTGTTCCCTCTTCATCCATTCAGAGTCTGCCACAGGTCGAGTTCTCCTTCTGAAATA